TATAGATATCTATAATATATATATATATATATATATATATATATATATATATATATATATATATATATATATATATATAGATATAAAATATAAAAGATAGATATATATATATATATAATAGTAATTATTAGGAGGATTTGATAAGTATATTTAATTAATTCATCGAGTCTGATAGAAACCTCAACAGAATGCAGAAAGCACTGGACGGCCGGTTCGTCCTATATTTGGGACTCATCAGCAGTGCGCATCCACTACCGAGAATTGAAACCCTGACAGGTTGTCAAGCAAATGACAAATTTAAATGCCAATTCAAAGATGAATTTATATATATATATATATATATATATATATATATATATATTGATTCTTAAGTTCATGGTTGTTATACACTTTCACCAAAAAAGTAATGACCCAATATTATGAACGAAAGTTGTCCAGACAAGAAAAAAAAAAGAATAAATTTATAAAAGTGATATTATTTTCGACCCTGGCAGCGATTTCAGCAGCTCTGTTTCAACAGAGAACGATAACTAATGCCTGAAGGGCTTTTGATTTATTTTAATGCAAATTTTACTGTTGATCTATTTTTGCATGCCAGTTAGTTTCGGCACTGCTATCAGAAAAGTTACGTAAAGCAGCAAGGAACCCAACATTTGGCTTGTTTAACTAAAGCAGTAATCCCGGAAGACATTCATATCGACCTGCCTGCAAACAATAAGACATTTCAGACGCTTGAAAATCACCGGGGATTCGCAAGCTCAAATCATAAACTATTGAAAAATCAAATTTATTGTATTAGCGATGTAAACGCATTCCTAACCACTCCAGTCCACCCACCCAAATAAAATAAAACGCAGACGAGCAAGCGAAACAAAGCGTTCTGATTTACAACTAAAATCCACGCCAATTTTCGACCAAATGTTAACACGTTTCTTCAAGGGTCATCAACAACGTGCCTCTAATGAGAAATGCCAAACGATTAATCAAAAGGATAGATTTATTCGTAACTCTTTCGCTGTTGTGGACTTATTTAGGAAAGTTGTATTACCTGCTGACGACGTATATATACGTTTTCAATACAACGTGGTTTATTGGTTACTACCAGCACAGGTATATAATAGCGTACAATATGATTTGATTTGTGCGTTAGGAATATCTTTTAACTTAGGGTTGTCAGACGTCCCTTATATAGTGAACATGTTCCGTATTGGATAATTTTGTCCTCATTTTGTACGCATTATGACAAGACCCAGGTTCGAATCTCACCATGGTCGATTTGTCAGGAAGTCTCCTTCCTGATATTATCGGACCGGAGGGGTCGATCCCAACGTTGGGCACCTTTGGAAAGTGCCTGAAAATCATACCACGGATATCTTTAACCATAAGTGTCTGAAAACCATACCACGGATATCTTTAACCATAAGTGCATGAAAATCATACCACGGATATATACGAATATCTTTAAGATTTTTTATCGAGAACACCCCAGAAGCCCCATATTTAGTTCATTTTGAAATTTCATAATAAAAATATATTTTTACTAACTTCTCACGGTTCTTGGTTGTAACTTTATAAGTAATTCTACTCTTTCTCATATTGTCTTGATGAAAATAACACAAATGTAAGAAGAAAACTAGTCTTTCTAGAAGTTTATACACAACTGATGTGTTTTATTCTCTGTTAAGTCCAAAATCATTTATTTTCTTCAGGAGCGGTGAATACTGGTTTGTTGTGTTTTTTACGTATAAGCACCAACTTGGTAGGTTACCAATTTGGGACGGAGGGCCTATTTTTTTAGCACGTAATGCAGAACACATATTCTTGGCCCAAATGATAGAGCTTCTGCTCTTGAATAAATAGTTAATTCTATATACCGTATTGTTTACTTGTATTTTAGTGTGTATTTTTTTTACATTTTATTTCTTCATCGGACAATTATTATGGGAACTAAAAAGTGAATTCACTCCCAAAAACCGTGATATTTTGAGACGCTAAACTATACGCCATTGAATGTATTTATATACCTCTTTAGCAAATATTTTCGTCAGTTTCTTTTAAAAAGTTAAATGCCCTTTTCTCTCAGAAAGGGTTGATGAGAAATTCGTAATTCCGTCGAGGTGTTCATTCTTTAATTTCAAATACATATCGATGATTCTGATCCTTCCTTTATTGATAATGATAGTAAAAAAATAATCTGACCCTCTCACTGTGGCTACCCAGGCCAGGGCACACACGGTGGCCTTTTCCAGATATAAATTGAATTAAAAGCCTTTTATGACTTCCGAAATTTCCGAGGTAGAATTAATGATTTTATTAATGGTTTCGTTTTCATGACGGTAAGAAAACTAAACAAAAAACTATTACCATTCTCTAGGAAGGAGACTATATTTTCGTTTTAAATAGACGGGGCAGTTAGAATAAAAAGTGCTTGGATTTTTTTTATACACATTTCATTATTAAAGTGCTTTTTGTTAGAACACTCGAATTAAGGAGTAGAAAAACTATATAATAAAAACGTGTATTTGCAATAGTGGTGAATTGGGTGGAGTTTTACCCATCTAATGAATAATCGCCCATGCCTATCTATTTGAAAACCAAAAATATATGAAGGGATTTTTCCCCTTCCTCTTCAAGTTTATCGACTCGAAATATTACGTCTAAAATGAAATACAAGGTGTCCATAAAGTCTGTTTATAATTTAAAAATTCATTACGAAAGCAAATGAACAAATATGTGGAAATTGTTACAAAATTGAGGAGTCGATATTGAAAGATTTTAGGTAATTTAATACACTTAATTGCACTAATTACGTCAACACCGTAGTCGATTTCTTGCTATGGTTGCTGTAGCATAGCGTCATCAATGGTGGTAATGGCATCAGTGATCTTTTTCTTTAGATCAATGAGGTCACGTATTTTTGTTCGATACACGATATCTTTAGTATAACCCCATACAAAGAAGCCCAAGGGAGTGATATATGATGAATGAAGTAGCCAGGGAATTGGGCCATCCCTTTTAATCCACCCCTCTGGAAATGTTTGATTTAGGAACCCATGAACATGCAGTCCTTAATGTGGTGGTGCACCTTCTTGCTGCAAAATGATGGTTGGCTGAAGGTCTTCTCGTTGTAATGATGCGATACCAATTGCTTTTGTAATACAGTCTAACCCGGATATAAGAGAAACCCGGATATAAGAGAGATTTTCTCTGATCCCAAATTATAGCCTGTGTTAATGTATATAAAATAGACCAAACCCGGATATAAGAGACTTCTTCTCCGGTCCCGACAACTCTCTTATATCCGGGTTACACTGTATATATTTTTTTAAACTGTAAAGAGAGTTTAGGACTGTATAACTGATTTTTTTTTTATTGAAATTAAATCTTTGACTTGAGGGGGGGGAATAGCTGAAATAAATGGTCGTACCTTCCAAACGACTTTAATTTACTTATTTTTTGTTTCGGTTTTAAACTGATGTAGTGCTTTCTTAAATCCAAAGACTGGCTCAAAATATGACACGAGTACAAAAAAATCAAAAATTAACATACAGGTGGAACGTCAGTGTAAGACACTTTAAAATTAACAATATCCTATTAGTGACCGTGACCCTTCTAACAGACTGTTTGGAATGTCGATGTTCACAAGTAAATTTGGTCTCATGTATGGTCCTTTTGTCTTTTAAGAATTTGACAGAATTTAAATAATCAATCTCGAATCTCTAGGATGTGTGTGGAGTGTAACTGTCACCGGCGTAGAAAGTGAAAAACAGCAAACAGTTAAAATTATGGAATGTAATAAATCCATTTCACAAGTATATTTGCCGGGGAAAGTATGGATATATCTCATCTATATGCAGCTTTGAGTTAAATAGCAGAATAGACTGGGCATTTGGAGATAGACATTCGTTGATAATAAAGAAATTATGGATAGCCATAATCATGTACCCGCAAGAAGGGATGACTTTAGTTATGTGTCATGCGTGATAGACGATCATGTATCTTTCGATACATGACTGACAAAGCAGATTTATTTTCGCGAAGTAGGTTGCCATTTCTTTCTACGGTAAACCAGTTGCCAACAAGGCTCTAGAACCCGGTCTGCCCTGCTATTTACCCATAGCTGGGGGGGGAGAAGAGGTTTTATACCTTTCTCAAGGGTATTAGCACGTAAATGAATGTAATGGATTCGACTGAATTTCGAACTCGGTTAACCGATTCCTCAATCTCAGCCGCTATCCATTACTCCACCGTATGGCATTTTTTAAAAATACTCAGCCTAGATTCTCTTTCGGAATAAAAAAAAAAATAATTGCTCCTCAAGCTTAAATTTGAATTTTTCTCGGTGACTCGCCGTTCTTACCCATGCGTCTATTTTCATCATCATCTAGTTTTTTTTTAAATTTTTTTTTTAGTTTCGCGTATTAAACTACTTAGAATTGATCTGTCTCCACACAGGCGGCATTTTTGGTGTAGTTCTCTTCAAATCACGGCTTCTGGTGATACTTATTATTGTTATCATCATCATTATTATTATTATTATTATTAATTTTATTACCACATGACATTTCTCTTACATTTTTTTATTATATTCTGAGATCCTTTTGTTCGCCTCATCATATTTAAAAACATTTCCTCGACCGCCATTTTTTCTTTTGCTTCCGCTAAAGCATTTTTTTCTAATCCATTCAACGTTCAAAAAGAAGATTTTCAAAGATGCATTATTTTTTCAAATGTATATTGTTCGTAGACATTCACCCCTTCCATTTGTCAACCTTCGACTTTATGGATATTCGATTTATTCCTTTAAAACGTGATGCTGTTAATATACGAAGCAGACGATAATCTGTTTTCCTGTATGGAAGCCATTCTGGGTAACAATTCATGTTCTTCTTAAAAACACTTCAGCCGTAAACAACTCTGTTTGCAGAAGATGACATCTCTGTAATTAAATGCGCTCTTTATCTTTTCTATCATGCATGTAGCCGCGACTCTATGTAGTCATGCGAAATCAGGGCAACTTTCCGCACGCACACAGTAAGGATCTTTTAAGAAGAGAATAAAAGCCGTGCATTTACTCAGCAATTAGTTGTAAAGCTGACTGCAGCATTTCTGAGAAAAGAATTGGCACAAATTCATGATGTTTGGTCACTTCGTGAGGTTCAAATTCTTGGGTGTGGCAATGTTCTGGGAAATTTAGGATTCTTCTCTGTTTTACCTTCTTCTTTCTTCCTCTTCATTCCACTCTTCTTTCTTTCTTCTCTTTCCCTCCACTCTTCTTTCTTTCTTCTCTTTCCCTCCACTCTTCTTTCTTTCTTTCTTTCTTCTTTCTTCCTTTCCTCCCTCATCTTTCTTTCTTTCTTTTCTCTTCTCTTTCCTCCACTTTCCCTCTTTCTTTCTTCTCTTTCCCTCCACTCTTCTTTCTTTCTTCTCTTTCCCTCCACTTCATCTTTTTTTCTTTCTTTTCTTTACTTTTCCTCCATTCTTCTTTCTTTTCTGTTTCTTCTTTTTTTTTTTTTTCTTTTTTTTTTGTTTTTTTCGTTGTTTTTTTTTTTTGTTTTCTGTTTTTTTTTTGTTGTTTTCTGTTTTTTTTTTTTTGTTTTCTGTTTCTTTTTTTTTTGTTTTCTGTTTCTTTTGAAATGCCTGTTTGGCTATCCCAATGCGCCCTCGGATTTCAGTAAATGACAAAAAAGGAGAAATTAGAAACATTAGGGGTAAAAAAAAAGAAGGAAGCTATCAAATGATGCAAAGAACCTTGAGAAAAGATTAAGTATGATCAACTGAATCCGTATTTGGCGACAAATGTTTTATTTTTTTTTTTTTTTTTTTTTCTGTTTAAACAAGTTTCGATTTTAATGCCTGTTTTTTAAGCTACGAATTAACATTAGGTGTAAAAAAAGTGTTATCAAAATGCAAGAACCTTGAGAAAAGCTAAGCTTAACGAGATCAGGAAAGATTTATGAAAAAAACCTTTTAACAAGCTAGGAAGGAAATAATTCAATTGCGTCCTCAAATTGAAAATAAATCGCTTCTTTTACATCAATTCAGTGAAATCGGTCTGAAAATAGTTGCTTGCAGAAAGCGGATAAATGAGAATGAATCTATAAGAATACATGCATTGTGTGTCAACGAGTTGAATGTTTTGCTTTGTTTACGTAACATAAATACATACTTGTTCAGCAGTCTGTTTTAAATAATTCTGTCTGCAGGTTTTGTATGTTTAAGATATCTCTTATGTGAAAACGGCTAAAGGTCATCAACGAGCTAAGTTCAAATACCGGGACAATTTCATTCACTTTCACACGTTCGGAAATCATGAATCTATTCTCACGCAAGCCATAGGTTTACTGGCATTTTAGAAGGTTTTGATTATCTTCGGGTCGCAGAGAAGAGAATAAAAACTCTGAATCGGACACCATCGAGAAGACAGAGAGAAACTGCTCTCCTCTATATCCAATGAAATTATGGTGATTCACAGACAATAAAAAATAAGAATTTATGGGAAAGCCTGGATAATCCTCGCTAAGACTTACAGGCTTCGTTTGATCGAAGCCACCTTTTAGCCATCCAGTTGAGAAAGCGTGTTGCATACAATACCCTGTTTAGATATCTCTGAATATATGGCATCATACATAAGAAGTCAGATCGAAACGCCGTGAATAAAATAACAAAGATGAGGACAACAATCCGGACAATGTAAATAATGTAAATAATCAAAATACCTCATCTCGGAAATATAGACAGGTACAAGCACCTGAAGAAGTCCGAAGCGTACAACGGCCGAAACATCGTGAATATCGCAACAGACGGATATGCAATGTAATTGGCCCTGATCTAGCATCTCGTCTGCAGTCGCTCTCTCACAGACGTGCCGTCGCCTCTCTCTCTCTCTCTCTCTCTCTCTCTATATATATATATATATATATATATATACATATATCTGTCTGTCTTTTTTACAAATACTTTCATAATTGCTCCGATGAGCTGTTTTCGCTGGTTCCCAGACCTCGCGAATTCAAGCGTCCTACGAGGCTGGCATCCCGCTCTCACCCTTTCACTGTTGAAACTGTTAAATGTAGAAGTCTCTTCTACTCCAATAGCTTCATATCTCGCACTTCTCGCCTGTGGAACTCCCTTCCCATTTCCTGTTTCCCTAATAGCTATAATCTCAAACTATTCAAATGTAATGTCAATCGACATCTCCAATTGTCTTGATCTATCCACTATCCTTCTCCTCATCCTTTCCTCTATCACTCCTATCTGCTCTCGCTCCAAATCCTCTGTAACCCCTTGAGTGCTAGTGGCTTCCCGCCTTGCTTAAAAAAAAAAAAAACAAAGATGAGAAGTCTGAACAATATAAATGCGTATTTAAGTACAAAAACCCTAGTTATGAAGCTATTGTTTCGCATTTAGCAATGTAAAACTATATGTAAACTATAACTGGCACAGCATTTAATATGATCAATTTCCTTAAACGAAACTTGCCATAACTGATCGCCATTATTGTAGAAGAGGTCACGTGGTCATCTCCTTTAATCAGTATTTCGACAAAATGCAGAGTGCCCGGATAAATCTTTAGTATCTGAAGCATTCTTAAAGGCTATATATAAAGGTGGCTACTGATCACTTACTGTCGATAATGATGCTGAAAATAACATGGAGAGAACATATAAGAAACGAAGTTTTGAAGAAAGTGAGGGGGAAAAGTAGGAAACAAAAGGTCACTTAAAGCAGAAAGACACATTTGAGACATAATGACGAAAGGGAACGTAGAGAATTTGACATCTCACAGGATATGGAAAAGGCAAGAGGAAGACATAGAGTAACCAATCTAATGACCTTTATAAATGGATGTCAGAAAAGAGTCTGGATTCAATAGTGAGGTAACAAACATTGCTTAGACCTAAAAGGATAGGAAGTTGATTAGATATCTCTGAATATATGACATCGTACATAACACCCACATGATTAAGTCCGGGGTGTACAACGATCGAAACGTCGTGAATAAGACAACAAAAATGACGACAACAATCTGAACAATATAAATAGTGTAAATAATTAAAATACCTCATCTTGGAAATATAGACAGGTATAATCACCTGAAGAAGTTCAAAGCATACAATGGCGAAACGTCGTGAATGTGGCAACAGAGATGCCAACTATGTAAATTGGTATTTAAGTACATAACTCTAGTTAAGGGGTTATTGTTTCGCTTTTAGCAATTTGCGCTGTTGGGAGGAACTACCATTTCGTGATAAACATTGCTTAGAGCTAAAAGGAATAGGAAGTTGTGGAGAGCCATGATAACCCATACCCAGGAGGGATATTGCACATAAAGAAACCTAATGTATGCGTAGGACTAAAACATTAAATTGGGTATTGTGGCATGTTCCATTTCAGTGTGCTTCATGAAAAATAACTCCGTCGGAATTACGAGGGTTGACTGAAATTTTTTATAGGCTGACTATGACTCCAGCACACAAGTCCTTGGTTCCAATAGTTGCTGTGCGTGAGTGCCCGATTTAAACTAGTTCATCACTTTCCCTATTCTCCTGATTTGATTGTCATCTGTTCCCCAATATGAAAAAAAAAACGCTTGGCTGGAAACCAGTATTGCAGTGATTGACATCATATCTGCTGGTGACTTTTTTGATCAATAGGATGAAAAGTTTTTCTTGAACAGTCAGATATCATTTTAACTGGGAAGAACACTGCAGATTTTAATAAGAGTTGAAATTAAGACATGCAAGATTCTACATTTCCTTCATAGTCAACCTTTTCAACATTTCCTTCATAGTCAACCTTTTCAACATTTCCTTCATAGTTAAACTTTTCACATTTCCTTCATAGTCAACCTTTTCACGTTTCCTTCATAGTCAACCTTTTCACGTTTCCTTCATAGTCAACCTTTTCACGTTTCCTTCATAGTCAATCTTTTCAACATTTCCTTCATAGTCAAACTTTTCACATTTCCTTCATAGTCAACCTTTGTACATTTCCTTCATAGTCAACCTTTGTACATTTCCTTCATAGTCAACCTTTGTACATTTCCTTCATAGACAACCTTTGTACATTTCCTTCATAGACAACCTTTGTACATTTCCTTCATAGTCAACCTTTGTACATTTTAGCCCAAATTCGTAGCTTAGATCATAGCACATCGTCATTGTAAAACATTATACACACATGTAGCTTCTGTCCCCCTGACCAATGCCTTAAGAAAAATACGAAAATGTTTGTGCTCTTGTCTGGGGAAGCATGCTGTTGTACTTATCTACCCGAGCATCTTGGCCATTTTGGTTTCTATTCCACCCATTCTTAGTTTATCAATGGTCACCTTTTTCTAAAGACTCTTACCTCTCTTTGCACCTGTGTGTTGGCTCTCAAGTAAGATAATTCCATTTTATCGCAGGCATAATTGGCCATAACATCAGGCAGCACGTAACTAATAGCTATCGAGAGACAGTTAAATCATGTGACCATCAATTTGTGTATATTCATATCAACGGGTCACCTCTCGCGGGAATTAAAAGGCACGAGAGTTGAAGGCGCGAGTTGGAACGTAGAGAGAGAGAGGGATGACCAAACAAACGATTGGACAGGATAGAAATGAGAGAGAGAGAGAGAGAGAGAGAGAGAAAAAAAGATCTATGAATAAATAATGAGGAATATAGAAAAAAAATGAAGAAAAAGAACGTTCGAAAGCAGTCCGAAAAAAAAAAAGAAATGAAAAAAATGAAGAGAAAAGTGAATTCAGAAGAGGCGGAAATTGATACGCGTCTCTATATATTAAAAAAAAAAAAGAAATACATTTTGATCCGTTGTGCAAGCTTTATATAGATAAAGAGGGCACCTCGACGTGGTGTAATGGTTAGGAAAGATTGTCTTGCTAGATCAATTTACAACTGAGTCGTGAATTCGATCCTCACTGGGTGCCCCATACTTTCGGTCTTGTGCCACCTCCAAGCTACGTTTGGAAAATCACTATATAGATAACGGGTGATATCATGTGACCAGAATGAATTCAGATATTCTTCATCTTTTTAAGCCATTTTAAAAGAATGCCTCAATAATTACATAGATAAAGATACTATTTTGCAATTACCTTTTAATAGATACATCTTGAAGAATTTTTCTCCATGTGAATGTAACCAAGAATCTCATAACTTTTTTTTTTGTTCACTCTTGAAGTTAAGATATATACGGTGATAGTGTCCGTTGATCACGGGTTCTCTCCAATGGAGTACAGAGTCACATCTGCACATGTTAAGTAGCGCCTCGTTACACCTGCTTGCTCTCACTCCGTTCACTGATATGAGGTGGAACAAATACATTGAATCAATAGCTTCATCTACTGCCAGGAAAGTTGGTTCTCTGTGTTGTGGCAGAAAGTTTTTCTCGTTTGAGTCCATTCTTCAAATCTATAAATCAACCATCCGTCCTTGTATGGAATATTGCTGTCATATATAAACTGGTGCTTCCGCTGTACGTCTCGAGGTTCTCGACAAAATCCAAAGATGAATATGCAATGTGATAGGTCCTGATCTGGCATCTAGTCTACAATCGCTTTCTCATAGACATGCCGTGGCTTCCCTCTGTCTCTTCTACAATTATTTTCACGGTAACTGTTCCGAGGAGCTACTCTCGCTGGTTCCCGGACTACATGAATTTAAACGAGCTACCAGGTTGGCATCTCGGTCCCAACATTTCACTATCAAAAGTTAAATGTAACCGTCTCTTCTCAAACAGCATCTTCTCCCGCACTTCCCGTCTGTGAAACTACCTTCCCCTTAGTTGCTTCTCCGATCATTATAATCTTCAAATATTCAAGTGTAATGTCCATCGAAATCTGACACCCTGAGCTTGTCTCCGTCATTCTCTGTATCCTTTCCTAAAACAGGCCTCTTTATTCTTGTGCTCAATACTTTGTAACGCCTTGGGTGCTAGTGATACTCCCGCTTTGCTTGGGGTGTATTGCTTTAAAAAGAAATGGTATGTGTTTTTACGGGCTGGAGTTGTTAGTCTAACACCTAAGCAGTTTTTAATTCAGAATTGTCATGCTTCTATATTGGTTGCCAAATAAGCCTGGTTGAGGAAGGTGCATTCGTAAATTTACAAGAGAATTTGTTCACTCAGTCTCTCTCTCATCTTGAATTGGAATGAAAATTGAATTCCAACATAAAATTCTTCGCCACCCCCAACTATCCCAAACACACATCCACCTGACATATAATGACACTTTTTTTAAAAAATTGATTATATGAAAAGAATCAGTAAATGCAGAAAATAAAACATGTGCACACATACACACAAACACACACACACACACACATATATATATATAAGTGAAAATTGATGATGCGACAGGCTGTTTCATGTTAGACGCAATATCAGTCCGCCTGACGACTGCGTCTAGCATTAAACAGTCTGTCGCCTCTGAGTGTTGACTTCAATATTTACATACGGTCAATCTCAAATATTGAGAACTTTATCCCATAAATATAGCATACATTAAAACTATATTTCTTTTATATATATATATATATATATATATATATTCTTTATTTTAGGATATTACATAGAAAACATGTCAAAATCGCTACACAATTGCAATCGCCTGATGAGATGCGTTGTGTGCGCATCGAAACGCGACTCCAATTGTGTAGCGATTTCGACATGTTTTCTATGTAATATCTTAAAATAAAGAATATTTCTCTACTTTTTATTGAGCCCTCTTTTAAATTAAATGTTACGAACGTTAGAATTGTACCCATTTTGTCATCTCAACAAATCAGGAAGTAATCTTTCCATTGCCGTACTGTAAGAATATCCGTGCAGAAATCAAGACTCCTCAGACCAGACCACGTTTTTCCCAATTTTCTATTGTCCACTTTGTGAGCTTCATTGGATTATCATCTGAAAAAAAGAAAATTATATTCACCTGGTTCACGTAAAATGATCCATTCAGGGTTGAAACGCCGTTAAAAACATCAAACCAAAACTTAGCGAATTAGAGTCTCAGATTTATCTGACTTGAATTGAACTTGGCATTGTTTTCTGGTATTGTAGTCTATATGCTTCAAGTTTCGATGTATTTGCCGTCCAAAGACGCTCATCTGTATACCTCCATTGCAAATTGTTTTTTGGGTGTTCCTGTTGACTTTCTGTCAGCTCGAACCTGTCTAACCACTTTTACTAAAAAGGGATTTCTACCTTTATTATTTCCACTTGATGGAATTCTTTTTCTGACTATTCTCTCTAAACTCAAGAGATATTTGAAAGTCGTAATTATCAAGAGAAACTAAGAATAGAATATACCGTTTACTTGAACGTTATGTAGAACGACCAGTGCCAGCTTACTGTCCGCAAGATCAAATCGCTTAAAGCCTAGATCGAAATGCTTTCGCCGAAATTTTCTCCATTAAGCAGCATTTTTTTTTTACAAACTTTACAAAATGGCTGGATCTCCCTTGTTCCATTCATAATTACTTTGAAAAAATGAAAAAGTAAAACAATCAATTCAGTTTCTAATAACTTCATAAAAGTTCATTAATCAGTACTTTTTGGTGGATACCAATAAAAGAAATTTTCTGAATGCAAAATTGCTAAATAGAAGATAAATGTCCGCTCTTCTAGATTAGATTGATAAAAGAAAATTTCGCCCTCATCTTTTCTCCGTGAATAATAACAGTGTGCATGTCATCTTCTTGTTTTGTTTTTCTCCTTTTACCTCCACGCGTACAAGTGAAATCTATTACCCAATTCCATATTCATCCTTTTTCTTTTCTCTTGCAATTGAATCTTGATTAAGTCTGTGAGGCGAGAAGGAATATTGACGCGAATCAGTTACAAAAGCAACCTGACATTGCAACGGAGAAAAACTAATTTACCCCCCTCCCCGACCCCCAAGGAGGTGGCGTAGAAGTAGTAATTAATGAATGCAAGCAGTAGATGAATATAAAATATAAAAAAAATCAAGCAAAATAAAGAAAATCTGCATTCTGGGCAAGGAAAGAAAACGCATGAAAAATACAACGGAGATTTCAAAGTGATACTCATTGCACGCTCCGAGCACACATACTCAGTCTCTTTCAGGTCGTTCACTTTGTCTGTCTCTTTCACTCTCATGATTACTCTCTCTTTGGCTCTCACATACACGATATCACTCGGTCTCTCTCTCTCTCTCATTCTCATATACACGTTCATTGTCACTCCTTTTCTCTCTATCTCTCTAATAGACGTTCTTTCGCTCTCTCTCTCTCTAATAGACGTTCTTTCGCTCTCTCTCTCTAATAGACGTTCTTTCGCTCTCTCTCTCTCTAATAGACGTTCTTTCGCTCTCTCTCTCTCTCTAATACGCGTTCTTTCGCTCTCTCTCTAATACGCGTTCTTTCGCTCTCTCTCTAATACGCGTTCTTTCGCTCTCTCTCTCTCTCTAATACGCGTTCTTTCGCTCTCTCTCTAATACACGCTCTTTCGCCCTCTCTCTCTAATACGCGTTCTTTCGCTCTCTCTCTAATACACGCGTTCTTTCGCTCTCTCTCTAATACACGCGTTCTTTCGCTCTCTCTCTAATACACGCGTTCTTTCGCTCTCTCTAATACGCGTTCTTTCGCTCTCTCTAATACGCGTTCTTTCGCTCTCTCTAATACGCGTTCTTTCGCCCTCTCTCTCTAATACGCGTTCTTTCGCTCTCTCTCTCTCTAATACGCGCTCTTTCGCCCTCTCTCTCTAATACACGCTCTTTCGCTCTCTCTCTCTCTAATACACGCTCTTTCGCTCTCTCTGTTTCTAATACACGCTCTTTCGTTTGCGCTCTCTCTCTCTCTCTGATACACGCTCTTTCGTTTGCGCTCTCTCTCTCTCTCTGATACACGCTCTTTCGTTTGCGCTCTCTCTCTCTCTAATACACGTTCTTTCACTGTCTCTCTCTCTCTCTCTCTCATACACGCTCTTTTGTACTCTGTCTCTCGCCTCGCTCGCAAAAACGAAATAACCATTATTGATGTTATACGAAAATCGGTGCAATTTTATTTCGAACTTCAATGTCCTCAAGTACCAGGTCGGTGATACAAAAAAAAGATCATCGGTGTGCTTGCTGTGTGTCGAGAAGGGGAATAAATCCTTTTTTTTTTTTTTTTAAGATACTCCACACCCTGTGAATAGAGTAAAACCCCTTTTCTCCAAAACGTCCCCTACCAAATAGATGCTTACAAACTCAATATAATTTACCAATATATATACCTATCCTTGAGCAAAGTAAATGCTTAAATCCTCAGATAATCTTTTAAAAAAACTTATTTCGGTATTAAATAACCCAATAAAGGTTGACATGTTGTAAGAAATTAGTGCCTGCCTGACAAAGATTTAGAGAAAGGGTATAGACCAACAGAACAAGGAGGATTTCGCAAACTCCTTTAAAAGGAACTTTGATGGAATACTTACTGCCAAGAAATGGCCAAGACTATTGAATAGGCGATATATCGCCGTGAAAAAAACCATCCTCATCCTTCGTCGTACAACTAAAGCACCCTACAGTTGTCAGATGTTTCTCTTACAATCGCTGATTTAAATTGCCCTCGCATAGTGGGGATTAGATTCAGCTAAGAGTCCAGCCTAATGGTAACAAAAGAAGGGAACATTTGTCATTCATTAACCGAGTGTTATCAATTTTCCAGGAAAATAGGTTCCTATAGTCACCATTGCTTTTCAGTGGAATTTCAGCTCATACATTGTTTTGGAAAGATTTATCTTGAATCCTTCTTCTTGAAATACTTGGATTCGGATGCTGATTTCACTTCAGTATCCTTCTTCTCACACATCAGATTATTTCCTCTCATCATCAATACATTGATAGTCGGCATTTCAAGAAAGAATGCTCATTTTTTTTTATCAGTAGATACTTGGTCTTGAAAAAAATAAACCCGGGGTAGAGATTTTAACTGTATCTATATTGAATTAAGCTTATCCATCACTAATCCGTCCGCAATAAAATCACTTGTTTTTTTGCATCGAATTATTATTATTATTAATGAACATATATTAATGAAAAGATATTGATACAAAAACGAAGGCGCCAATTGAGCGAAAAATTAATGATCCACTTGAAACTGTTGTAAAATTGCTGCAAAAATGTGTCAATTTTAGCAGAGAATTGAAACCATCCAGACGTCATCTTCATTCATATCGGTTGTAATACAGTTACCTCCCTTTAATTGCAGGGGGAAAATGTTAGACTCAGATGATGCTTGTAAATGGCGGATAGCATCAAACTATATTATGTATTTCTTCTACGTGCCTATGAATTTTTATTTTATGAATAAAACGCCCACAGAGATTAACAACACCAACAAAACATTCTCTGTTCTATCCTATGTTCTGTCTTTAATTTTGCATGCACGTATGTATTACATTCTTGCAAAATCAATGATAGGTTGGAACAGTGGAGACACGGATTGAAGAATCGGAGAGACGAGTTTGAATTCCAGTCGAATCCATTACATTCACTTCTCTTGGGAAAGTATGAATCCTCTTTTTTTCCCCAACCCCTAGTCATCGGTAAATACCAATAGAGACCAGGTTCTATAGCCTTAAATGGTAACTGGTCTACCACAGAAAGAAATGAGCAAACCTAGTGCGGGAAAAAAATCTGCCTCGTCAGTCATGTATCTAAAAAATACATGATCGCCTAAAGGTGTATCATGCATGGCATATAAATGATACTTGTTGTGTTCTTTATTGATTGTTTTTTATGGCTTATCAATTCCTTGCAGTTTATTTAAAGCCAGAGAATATTTTTAGATTGTAAGATAACGATTTCTAGTTAACCCAAAGCTGAGGAAGAAGAGGTGGGTTCATGCCTTTTCCAATGATATTTTGCGCTTAAATGACTATAACGAACCCAACAGGAATTAACACTCCGATTAACAAAATCCCTGGCCATGATCCATTGTACCACCCGCACATCTAAGCTTACAATACCGGGTATTCGCAAGCGGTCACCCATGTAGGTACTGACCAAGCTCGACGTTGCTTAACTTCGGTGGTCGTACGGGTAACCGGTGTTTAATTCTGATGTGGTCGTTCCCATCTCTCAGTCTGGAGAATGGTGTAGCAATAAAATTAAAAATTCAAAGAGAAGGAAAATTAAAATGAATAATTGAACCTAAAAAAAAATGGGATAATTATTGGATTGGTGCATAATTATCGGGCGTTTTGTAGGCGATTCATTTGTTAATAAAAACTGATGTCTTATCTTTTTTTAACAAAACTATTGTTTTATTTTCTGGTTATAAAAATGCGTATCGATAATCCTACGCTCTGGAATAATCATTTAAAAATGTTATTGTTGAATTATTATGTTGTTGTTTTTTTATAGTAATAAGTATTGTTCAAAAACGCCTGATAATTATGCACCAAACCAATATATTATTCAACCGGAAATTAGATAACTTTAAAAAGTAATTTTATTCCATATTTTTAAGGTTTTTCATGAATATTTTATGCTTGCTATTGAATTGATATATACAGGCGCACAGGCAAATATACAAAGCCTTGTGAAGTCATTTTTATGACCCTATATTGAATATATTTTCTAGTGTAAGTAATACGGGAATTACTCAATTAATACGGCTAATGTGTACACTGGTAACTATTAGAAAAAAATTAATTTTCAATTACTATGGTTAAACTGAAGAAAGTTTTACCACACTAATCGAGTATTATGTGTGAACTAATCGTAGAAAAAATTGAAAACGCGTTAATTGAGGTATGCATGGACTTAGACCATTAAAAGATTTGAAAGTTGATCATCTTGTCGTCATTGAAGTGATAGATACCGGACGCGTTGACATAATAGCTGCCAGAAGAGATATGTGATGGACAGAGCATTCAATTTTAGTCTAGATCTTAGTAATCAGTGCTGGCGCCTTTTCTTTTCTTTAATTATTAAGCTGATAACTTTTATCATTTTATTTAAGAGAATCTTCGTATGCTCTTTGTACATCCAAAATACCAACATCAACAATCCAGCACTTTATATAAATGTTTATTTCGGGTATTGATCGAGGGTAGATGAAACTACGGAAAAATAGAACTAGTACTTCGGTGATAACCTGACTTAGGCGCACTGTGTTATCTTAGGAGAATGATAAGTGTTATGATAATTTACCCACACACGCATGGACTCTCCCAGTTATAAATAGGAGCAGGTACTGCCTTTTGGAGAGGAAAGTTTCAAGCAGTCATCGCTGACAGTCGGACCGAACATATTTGCTGTAACAGTATCGTTTGTAGATGTTTGTATTACTGTTTCTGTTAATATATTTAACTCAATTCCTCTATTTGTGTCTTAATTTATGTCCCTAACAAAGTCACAACAGCTACACAGTTATGTTTTAACGTCGGAACTCTGTAGGCAGTAGGTTGTAACAACATATTTATTACTTTTAAACATTATTTTTGTTGATACACATATTATTGTAGACACTATTTTTTAAACATATATAATGTGTGTGCGTGATAATTATGAAATAACCCATTCTACCAATTTCAATACTAACCACTGTATATAAAAGTTTCTTTAACTATTAACGATCAGTCTCGCAGAATAAAGCTTCTAAAGTTGATACCCACAGTTGATGATTCAGTGTGATTGAAACGTAACTCACTATTTTATGTACGATGGACTCTCCCTTCAACTATAATGTTCGCAAGATGGGAGAGTCCATCATACAAAAAAATAGGCATTTAATTTTCAGTCACAATATATATATATATATATATATTGGCGGCATGTTTTCATCAAGACATGCCTCATTGAATAATTTAGACAATTTTTGTCTACTTATTTTCAATAGGATCCTCTCATATTCACGGACAACTTTTTAGTGTCTTAAAGGAAAAGAGAAAATTACCATGTTGATACATATTCATTTATTTCGAGTACTTGAAAAAATCAACACACTTATGATGACATTGTGCTAATGTAGAAAGGATCCTATTGAAAAGAAGTAGACAAAATGTATAAATTATTCAATGTCTCATATATATATATATATATATATATATATATATATATATATATATATATATACACCTAGTGAAGCCAGACAAACCTAAAAGGTTTCACCTAAACGGATCGTCAGGGAAAGTCAAAGCTGGACTTTCCTGACGATCCGTTAAAGGTGAAACCTAAAGGTTTGTCTAAAACTAGGTGTATCTAGGTCTGCTCTACGGTTGTATTGAGCTCTTTGTTAGTTAGTTTTTACTCGTATCGGGTTTTTTTCTTTGTGCTTCAGACCTGCATCTGTGCGATTTTTTGTCGACAGAAGTTCATGTTTGTAGCTCTTTCTTTTTTTAAAACCTTTTTTCCCTCGAGATTGATTTGATTAACAAATAAAAAAATTCGAGGGTTTTTCGAAACGAGTCTATATATATATATATATATAGATATAGATTGGAAACAGTGATTTGATTTGACACTCCGTTTATTTTTTTACACAGTGTATATTTACGTTTTTCATCATATATTTAGATTTTTATATATATTTGAAACATTTTGATGTAATTGAAATTTATAGAGAATATATCGAAATTATCTCCTCCCATAATAATGACCTTGACCACTTTTTATAAACGCTGTCGTAATCCGAAACAATTTTATAGACAGCACTCTTCGACCTGTCAGCTACGAAGCTAAATTAATGAAGTCCAGTCCCAGATGACCCGTCTCCTCAGGCAATACATCTCCTTAGAGAGGTGCAAAAGGTTAATCTTTGGCGCCTGAGGCGTCCCCTGGAGAGGAAGTGCTGAGCAAGCTGGACTTTTTTTGGGCATTTTTCCCACATGAGTGTGAGAATCCTACTTTAAATTTGGCCTTGTGCCACATTACGTTCGAGTAGGCGTTCACATAAATTTCGAATTTGAGTCAGCAAAAACCCAACTAAACCTCCACGGCTATTTCTACCTCCTTTGTCTCAATGACAGAGCAAAACCCTCAAGCCGAAATCTGGCGGCTTCTATTTTCAAAGCCGGTGAGCGCCGCTTGGCTGTTCCAGCTCCAACTTAATTCCGGTGTTTGACGGTGCTATAAAGCAACCATTGGTTTAGCTTTCTTTTATCTTCCTTCATTAATATATACCGCGCTTGGTCAGTCATTTGATTCTTAACGGCCACTGAGTGACATGTCAATCGGTGCTTTCTTTTTATGTGCCATGTCCTTTCAGGACGTAAGCGACCATGAGTCCCCACCTCTCTCTCTATCCCTTGCAGCTCATAACAAGTTCCTTCCCTTAAATTTCATCCCCCAGACCACGTTCTGTCATCCACTTGCTCAAGCCCGCCAGGTATGTCACGCGTTGTTTTCCCTTGTCTCTTTTTCCTTGTCTCTTTTTCCTTCTATTCAACCTGTGAGTATCAGATTCTCCAGGCCTTCCTTCCTCATTATGTGTCCCAGAAACTTCAGCTGCCTCTTCCTAATGTTAAGTATAAGCCTCCTCCTTGTTTGCATCCTCTCTAAGACCTCATCTTTTCTCACACGCCCGGTCCATGATAACCTCATCATCTTTCTGTAGAACCACATTTCCGTTGCCTAGGTCAGTATTAAGAGAGGATGCTTCTCCGCTATGAGGAAAAACCACAGTCTTTTCATATAATTGTGTGTTAAAGTTGTGAGATAGACTTTTACAATATTTGTAGCCTTGCTTTTTGTATGATCTGGGAGAAATCATAATCTTAAACTTAGAATGTTTCCTTAGTTAAAAAAATAATTTAAGTTCATTTCAGCTACTCTTTCGCTGTTATTTATTTTTGTTTTTTATGTTGGGTCAATAGAGTGATTCTTCTTTTAAGTGTGCCGCGAAATATTGTGGGTGTGTGGCTGTCAGTATTAATGGTAGAGCGTTAGTATTTGAATAAATGGATAGCTACATCCAACAGCAATGCCTCTGATCAGGACGCTTTGCGAAGGATGGAACTACCTCTTAATTGCAGGTGTTCCCAGATCTACCATTACTCGGGGTGATAGCCCCTGTCAGAGTCCCAGCTATGGGCAAATAATTACCCGCAAAACTGGAGTCGAAACTCCATGAGTGTAAAAATAGGTTTAATATCAGCAATACATTTGTGAAGAAAATAAATATTACCAGCAATACATTTTTTGAAGGAAAATAGCAATTATTAAAATTATCAGTAAATGGTACCGCGTAGCCTATATTTATGAGATATTATTTTGGCTAAACAAGCTATGATTACGGTTAAATGAAAAATAATAGAAAAAAAGAACACGAGCCTATGAAAACTTTATTATATCCAAAGGTAAGAAAAAATAAAAACCAAGCATTTATTACAATTGAGCAAAACAGTAGTTTTACAATTAAAATATTATTCATCTTCAAATCCATAAAATTCGTCGTCTGCGTTATCAAAACTCTGATACTCATTTTCAGTGCTACTATCATCGTCGTTAAATAATGCGCCATTTTCCGTTCAATTGAGAGCATTGCTAATGCAACGCTTTTTTAAAAGATTTCACAATTTCTGCTCTAATATTATCCCAAGCTTGCTTTACTCATTCGAAGACTTGTGCAATTCTGTTTTTTTATTCTTCCTGTAAGTGTAAGGTCCTGATCAGTTATTGTAATCCACATGTTACATTGCTCCTTCATGTTTAAGTCTAAGTGAATAGAAGTTGACAGCTAATTTCGACCGACTATCGCGAATTTTAAACCTACATATAACATATAAGACGCAGGAGAACGTTAAGATATTTTTAGTAACAAAAAAAAGGACGCCTTATATGCCGTCTAATTCGGTAATTGCTTTTATTACATACATTTTTTGTCGTTTGTATAAAATCCTTTTGTTTTGTTTTTTCCTTATCTTTTCCCGGGCTTGCGTAAGTCCACCGAATGTTGTTTGGGAAAAAAAAAATCAGTAGGAGCTATTAAATCGCGAGTCAATAAACTTCCAAACCTCTCAACCAAAGAGGTAATTCTTGCAACAAATCCGTTAGCAGAATCTTTGTTGGGTAGTGGATTTTAACGTTTTGTAGTTTAAAAGGGATATGTTTAAGTATCTAGATG